AGGAAATAATTTATGATCGAACAATGAACATGATAAAGATTCTCACAATTTTGTCCACCTTGCTGTAGCAGTGAATATTCTTTAAATGACAGGATGGAGTGTATTTGCCTTTAAGCATCTTTAGAAAGTGGAAGAGATGGAAAATCGCACCCCTCTTGATTGTTCTCAGAAAAGAGAATTGGAAGGTGAGAATTGTCCTGCGTGATTAACACCCCAAACTTTCTAGTTAGCCACTGATCATGAACGTTTCATTTCAAGTTGCTATACTCTTTCTTAACAACACAGGAACTTTTCATTCCTTAACAGTTCACGTGAATGATCATCTAGAAGTCAATTGCACAACACATTTAAAAGGTTTGTTTCGAAGGTGTTTTGGATCATTGAAATAATGGACTGATTTCAACATCCCATACACGTACGCATACATAATTACCATGAATGAGTGGCATGTGCGTACATACATGCCTCGCTAGTTCTAATTAAACATGAAAGCGTGAATTTATTCTTCTGGGACAAGCAAAAATAGTGTTGGGGATAATCTAGCCGTCAATATATAGAAATTTTATGTTCAGATCTTGAAAAGAGTGCGATAGGAAGGCACTGAAAGAATTAGGATAACATTTTGAATAACTCAAAATTCCTCGAATCACCCTTTTGAAAAGATATTAATTATGAAATGTAAAAAAGGAAAGACAAAATTCTCTGGTGGAATCTTGTCCAAGAAGATACATATAATTGTGCACTTCTTATGCCCAAAGAGGTGACCATTCTATATCAATGATTAATCAATCAAACAACTATGGTTGCATAGGCATGGTCCGCATGTGCTTACGAGTCTTTAGATGGAGGAGGTGGGACGTGGAAAGAACTAGCCTTTTTTTTCAACCCTATTCGTTTTGGATTCATCTTAGAGGAACTGGATATTCCTTTCTCTCCAATGATTTCCTAACCTAGCTTAAACAATGGCTGGTTTACTTCTGCGAGAGAAGTTAGTTTGCCCTTTTCTTTTCTTTTTTTGTTTAAAAGCACAAGTTTGGATCGAAGAGAGGACGAGTTACAGGCACTTGATTGATGGCATGGCCTTGTTTTTTGTCGTAGCAATCCAGCCCTTTTTTGAAAGGAGGCCTAGTTTCTTATTGATACAGAGCCCAGTACTCAAGAAATGGATTGTTCGAGAGGCCCGATTAATGGGCCCTCCCAGCTCGTAACACAAGGGCCTATATTGGAACATCTCTCTCCGAAGAAAATCATGGGCCTTCTTGAGAGTCCAGTCCATTCGCCTTTCTGTATGGCTCGGGCTATGGATCATCTTGCCGAAGGAAGAACCACTTGCTAATGTAACCACAAGAAACAAAACATGAACGGGAAGTCGAGCAGTAAAATTTTAGATTTCTATTAACAAAAGAGATACCAAATATACCTTACTTGTGACAGATTTAACATTGTTTCATCTTAGTTCTTCCCTATGTTCATTAATTCTCTTTTTCAGTGGCCATCTGACATTGTTGACAGATTGTTTCAAGAAGTGCCGGAGGGTTAATTCTATTTTGTTGTTTTATGCAGACTCCGGCGACCCTCAGATTGTTGATGCATCATTAATTTCAATTCTTAGGATTTATATTCGAACAACATAAGTTTTTGAACAACGTAAGTAAAGAACTCAACAATCATTTTACATGGACATGACAGCGCTCAAAAAATGACTCAAACCTAATCACAGTAGAGTAATTAATCATCGTGTGAATGAAGATCGACGGCATAACTTTATAAGGCATACCATTTACTATTATGGTAGAAAATATACTGAGACAAAATAGTCATTCTATTCAATATTCATAATACAAGATTTGTAGCACTTTTATTATTTTTCATTAGGGGAAATTTGCAAGGCTAAAAGGTGTTGAGGGGAATATAGTGGTTTTTTTTTAAAAAAAATTGTTTTATTAAGAAATACATCAAAATAATATATATTCTTTATTTTTTATAAATAATTTTAGGCATCTGATGATCCAAAAATATATTAAAAAAATTCAAAATTTCAGGAAACATAATTTCAACCCCTATTGCTACCTAATGGATAAGCATTAACAGAGACTATTACTTACTAGCACATTAAATTTTTTTATCTTTTAAATATTTGAAGTTAGATATTATATTTGTTTTAATATCTTGAATATAATTCATGAAAAAGAATGAAATGTAAACAAAAACTTGAATAATCTACGTGCAATGCCATTGCATGTCTCAAACTAGTGTGTGTACGCGCGCGCATGTGTGGTGTCCACTAGTCAGGGAGAGCATTCCTTGGTTCGGTTGGTTTTGACCCAAAAAATCAACCACATTGAAATTTACAAATGTGGAGAGAATACAAGAAGAAAAGCAGGAGAATTGAGGGAGCGCACAAGAGAGAAAGGAGACAGAGAGATAGATGGGCTGGCAGATGACCTGAGCAAGCTTTGTAGCATGAGAACCAACTCTACATAGTCGTTTCAAGCCTGCTAAGCATGCATGGTTTCTGAGATCAATTAGAATTCTATTTCAGAGATTGATCCTCTCTTGCCAGGGTCAATAATGCATGTACTCAGAGCATTGATCCTTGTCTTGAGAAAATGGATTTAGCATGTTAGATGAGATTTCTACTTCCGTTGTTTTTTCTACTCTCCTTTTGCTATCTCCATAGCATATCAAATTTACTGCCTTTGCTGGCTGTCATTCATGCGATAAACAAATTCCGGCCCCGAACAGAGCATGAAAAAGATTTTCTCAATTTTTTTCTCCATGCTCCCCCGACTCTTGATTGTTCTTATAAAAGAGATGCTGAAAGCAGGGAGCCTTAGCACAAAGTATTAGAAATTTTCCTTTTCAATGAAATGCAAATATCATATTTTTAACGATCACATTACAAGACATCTAAAAACCTGCCTATCGAACACATTTTAAAATACATTTCAGAAAACTGATTCAAAGAAGTAATAAAAATCTGTCTTAGCCTTGCACACATTTCAGAAAATACCTGCAGGTTATACTATCAATGGCCTGAATTCATGGTTTCTATCAGCAACACTAGAGATCCTTTTTTGCTCTTAGTTTTGATGACAGATTAAAAAGATGTGTGGGCTGTAAGCCTAGAAGACACCACTTAAACAAGGATCTGCATCTGTTGAGTTCATGAATGGAAACAATGCAACCCCTCAACGGAAACAGAACCTTCCAAGCTTCAGTGGTTTCTGACAAGCTACTGGGCCCCTTTCTCTCAACATACTTGGGAAATTTTCAATGTACCATCTCAACTCTGAGAGAAACATTCGGTAAAAAGAAAAATTGAAGCATATGGGATTAGGGTACTGCACGCTCATCATGTACTATGAACTTGACTGCTTCCAAGTCTTGACAGCGTCGTCCAGTAACCACTAACCACCCTTTGGTACAATACATGAAACTACTTCATCTCTCTTTTTTTCGCAGCAATTTCTATTCAAGTGAACTGAAGCTATTAACCCCGGCACCATTTCATATACGTTCACACAAGCTAGTGTAACATGGATATGAGCTTACCTTTTTTGTTTTATGATGCTTATTAAGCTTGTAGTTGAGTTGGCAAAGCACCAACCACTTTGAACAAAACATGTGTGGATGATATTGGTGGGCTATTGCAGTTTGACGTGTTCAAAGAATCCTGCCCAGAGGCAGACCCTTATATCTTGGGTTGAAAGTGCAATCTCCGAGGAACCAAGAACGGCAGCTTCCATGCTTCATCTTCCCTTCCATGATTGCTTTGTTAATGTAAGTCAAAGTTTAATTTTATGGACTTCACATATTGTTTATCTTTATGAAAGCTTTTATTGCAATAGCAATGGCCATGATACAAATTGTGTTGCAGGGATTGGGCGCTTCAGTGTTGCTAGCTGAGACTGAGAACTTTGTGAGTGAAAAAAGCTGGACCATTTAACTTGAACTCGTTAAATCTGATCTGGCATCTGTTTGTCCTGAAACGGTTTCTTGTGCTGATATTCTCGCAGTTGTTGCCACTGATTCTGTTCATCTTGCGTGTTGCATTTATGCCACTCTTCACGTTAAAAGAATATCTCACTTTCTTTAAATGGTTTGAACTAACCTGAATTCTACTTAATCTGCAGTCTGGTGGACCAAATTAGGAAGTCCAGATGGGAGGAAGGACAGCTTGAGTGCTAGCAAGGCAGCAGCGACTGGGAATATACGTGCTCCAAATTCTAGTGTATCAACTCGTAGCGGTTAATTTTCAGAATGTCGGCATCATACTGAATGATATGGTCGCCCTCTCAGGTAACATGTTTCCTATCCTAATGCATGTCAGGACACTCCTGCCACCTGAAAACCACGGTCTAATTTTGATTCGGCAGGTGCGCACACAATAGGAAAAGCTAGATGCTCAACTTTTAGCTCTCGATTCCTGTGCCCTGGTAACTACGTTGGCCGTGATGTTAATGTGGACTTCGTTCAATCGCTACAGCAACTATGCTCATAAACTGTTGACAGCAACACGACAGCTGCAGATCTTGACGTAGTGACCCCGGCTACATTCGACAATCTTCTCTCAATAAAGGGATTCCTTCCGTCTGACCAGTTCTTTGTAATAGAAGATGATCGCACACGTGAGATTGCAGAATCCTACGTGGAGGATCCATTATTATTCTGAGTTCAAGAATTCCATGATGAAAATGGGTGGCTTAAGGCCGCTTAAAGGTGACAGGCGAAATATGCGTGAATTGTAGGACAGTCGACTAATCTTTCTTTCGATTACTGCTAGCAAGATGACAAGCCATATGCTGATAACCTGGCTCAATTTAGAAGCTTTATCCATAATCCATGAGGTTTATATAAACGTTCGAGCGTGTTAAAAAAAGCACTCGAAAATTATAGTTTTATAATGTCCAAAAACGGTTAAGCACCACTTCCGATTTTCTTTTCTGCTGTGAATCTAGTATAACCCAACACTAATAAAATAAAACTGGCAAATAAACAGTACAACGCCTAGTGAATAGTACTATTATTATTCATCAGCATCACTTGCCATCTCGGATCCTCAAGTGGGGCCAAATATGGGGTTCATGTGGTTACAAGTGAATATTGGATCATAGGTAGCAACTGATATGTTATATGCAAGTCATTACCCCGTGCACTGATGGCACATACGCATTTGCATACAGCAACTGTTGAACAGTACATCGCCACAGCTAGTAAAGATTAAGCTGGAAAAACTGTTCAATAAACATCTCATTTAGCATTTAAAGCTCATAGCAGTTGGTGCCGCTCCTGTCGGATTGCCAGTGCTCTCACTTGGCATTTCAAGTAGCTGTAACTTTGCCCATGTGCTGCCTCATATTCCTCTCTTCAAGTTCCTGGAGAAGAACGCAACACAACATGAGTAAGAGCACGACGGAACAGAGAATTAAAAACTCCCAAACTGTCTTCCAAAGCACATTTAAGGGTGTCTATGCCATCTTCCAAAACAATTTACCACATCATGAGACTTGAATTGTCAGTCTCGTAAAAAAACAAAAAAAAATCCAATTCTACTCCCCAAAGCAACCCAATGTCCCATGATCATGACCCACTGATAATGTTATCTTGGCAGTTTGCACACAAGTGCAATGCTGCAGGTGCTTTCATTCAGTTTCATCCAAAAGGGCACCTTGCAAGGACGAGTTCCTAATTTTGATGTTCAGGCATAATTTTCTACGTCTCCTTTGCACTAATTCCTATTTGTCTTGAGAAACTTTGGATGAAAAGAAAACCATCCCAGAGTAAAATAAAAATAGAAAATTATCAGAACCTGCTGGCTTATTCCTCCACATCCAATCCTGAGCAACTGGACGCCCCTGCAGCAGACAATGACCTTAGGAATGATCTATTATTACAGAAAAGATCCAAGGACATGGAAAAACACAAGGTACCTGGAAGCGTGTCGAATCGTTGACTGAACTAGCTGCTGCAGGTAATTGTGTATAACCATGTTCCTGCAAAGTCAAAAGGAGATCCAAAAGGCAGATGACAAAAAACTCCTAACAGGAAAAAGATAAACATGCAAAAGTTGTGTTCACATGCATATTTCCTTCCATTTAAATCTCCAGTGAAAAAACAGATAGCAGAGCATTTTCCACAGTTTTAATGAAGTTAAATTCTACAATGTGCCAGTGCAACAGGCATGGACTTGCATTCCATACAAGATACAAGATATTATAGGTTTAAAACTAAAAATTATGCAGTTGCATGGTGTGAAGACACCAATAGTTTCAGATTAAGGCTTGGTTGTTATTGTTTGTTTTAACAAGGGAGAAAATCAAACATATAAAAAGGTCTCCAATTTCAAGACTTCTCGAGCAATTGTGGATAGCATGAAAAGCACATCCACCTAATGCAGAGCGCCATCTGCAACATTCCAATCAAAGCAAACTCCAGGGAATATACCAGATTTCATACATGTAGGATACATTGATTTTTTGACAAGGGAACCAACAAAGATGGACAGGCTCAACCAAAAAAGTGCACCAGGGGCAATCTTTTTCATACAATGCAATCTACAAACGATCCAAAACTACACCAATCATTCCCTGGATTAACAGACAGGCCAGATTTCTTTGGACAAGAAGACCTCTGGTGGGTGACAATGCTGTCAATTATCATTGGGAATTCATATGAGTTTATGTAATACATTTACATTCTTCCATTTAAAATTTCTATGCAGTTATTATCTTACCACCTGCAAAATATGCAACTTGACAGAATGTAATGGTATGTGGAATGGCCAGGCAAAGACTGAGGCTTAATTTGCTAAAACAGCCATACAACAACTAATGGAAAAATCAGTAATCAAAAGTAAGTACCCACAAAAGGAGGCTTTTGAGGCATTCTCATTTTAAGACAGGCATTACTGTGACACATTAACAAATAACAAAATCCTTTCTGATGACTGGTAATTATCTGAGCATATCTTGTTGACCCCTAACTTCAGTAGTGGCATACTGGAAGTTCATGATATGGAGTTAGCGAGGGTATATGATATGCACTACAATTTGGAACAACAATATAAACACTAACCATAGAAGAAAAGGAAGGCTGTGGCTGCTGTTGCTGGTGGCGAAACTGTGTTTGAAGATGCACCTGTTGGGTTTGTGGCACTTGCTGGGTGGGCAAAACTTGGGGATTTGTCTGTGGTTGAGGCAGTTGAACTGGAGGTTTTTGGTGCAGTTGCTGCTGTTGCTCGAATAATTTCAATTCTTCAGGCTTCTCCCACTGTCCAGTCACAGGGAAATATTAACAGCTAATTAAAACAATTAAGTGCCAACAACAGAGCATATCAACGATCAGTTGCTTACTCGGCTTTCATGAGTTACACCGTTATAATAGTACTTGAATCCCTCAGGGGATGTATGCTCAGTCCAATTACATTTTAAAGGAGCAACAGTCTGACTCAAAACACCTGCAGTAGGAGCAGAAGTAGATGGAGGCAAATCTACAGGAAGTGGAGTGCTGGCAACTGCTTGTGGAGGCCACTGAGAATGTGAAGGCAGGCAGTGTTTTCAGCATATAATCATAATACCACAAGTTTAACAAGCAAAAGGAAGTACAACAGCAAACACAGGATTGAGAGAAAATAGTATAATTTCTTAGATGGGCAAATTAGTGCAGCATCCTAACATGAGAAACTGGAATTTGGGTTTTCAAGAAGTGAAAGGTGCCCCACAAAAAGACAAGTGGTATAAATGTATGTAAAATATAATGGGCACTAACAGGTCAGGCAGATAAAAAATTATCCAACGCCAACACCCAGCAACACTTTCAAGTTCAAGTTTACTTGTGATCAGAACTACTTTTCCAGCAACCAAAATAATGTTTCCAGCTTTAGATAGCAGTTTTAACCAATGATGTCAAGCAAATGATCTACAGCTGTATGCAAATTAAACCTTGCAGCCCAATACATGACTTTTACCAAAATTTGAAGAGAAGGGAGTAATGAATCTAGGAATTCCCGACCACTACACAGCTCTTTACCCTCTAAAAGCTTATCGTACCTGCTGTTTTGGAGCCTGGGGACTCTGTTGCAGTGTGCTCTGGTTTGATGGTTGCATCATCTGCAACTGTTGCTGCAGCTGGGAAAAAGCCTGTTGAGATGACTGAAAGCTTGCTTGCAGGGTTTGAGTCTGTTGTGACAGCATCTGAGCTAACTGAGAAGGGGACTGCTGGAGAGGCTGAAGTAGTTGCTGCTGAATAGGTGCAGGCAATTGCTGTTGATTTATTGCTACAGACATGGGGTGGGGGGCTTGTAGTGCTACATTTGATGAGATGCCCTGCTGGATCTCAGTTTGAGAAGTAGGCAACTGTCTTCCAAAGCCAATCATATGCTGTGATGGCAGTGCTTGACTGAAGGGTGTTTGACCAGTAGTAAGCGAACTCTGTAGCTGACTGACATGAGAAGTCTGTGTCTGAGGATAGGAAGATGCAGCTTGAGCATGTAGTTGAAGGGAAGGTGGCAAGTGCTGAGGCGATTGAAGTGGTTTCTGCAGAGGTGATATTTGCTGGCTAGCAGGGGGGAGATGCTGCAGCGACTGGTTAACAGTCTGAAAAATATAACATGTAGACAATATTTGTTAGTCTAGGATGACAATGAGAAGCACATGCAAGCATCAATAAGTGTCTTCACGTGCCCATGATGCAGCAGGAGAAACTGTCAGTCTTCAAAGTTCTGTAAGAATAGAAGTAAGGGTCTGGGGTCTGAATTGCTAAAGCTAGCAACAAGAAACATATGCTTAGAATTAAACTAAGGAAACTAGTGCGCAACAAAGGAGACAAGTTTCTCATAAGAAGATATTCAATATACCATGCAATCAAAGATTATACATGTCAAGAAAAAGACTGCCAACTCTATGAATCTCTAAGTGGGATATGTGACAAGGAAAGGGGTATTTTATCAAAAGTGAACATGATCAGGTGATCAATATACCATCCAATAAAAAAATTGTTTTGTAAGTAAAAGATACAGTCAAAACAAAAATTAATCATGGGTAAGAGAAAATGCTAAAGAGTTTCAACGTATCAGATAACTGCAAATAGTCTTACCTGGTTTAAAGGCATTGCTAAGTCACCAGACCTAGGAGGCAACTGATTCCCAAAACCATGAACACCAGCATTGGAGGAAGGACCCATATTCTGGGGACTCATTGGAAGCCAAGCATTAGGCGGAATATGGTCACCCATAGGATCCCCTAAATTTGGTGGTGGTCTAACAAAAGTGAGCATGAAAGCAATGTTGTCAAAAAAATAGATAAATAGAGAAGAAGCTGAAGTGACAGTTTATTTTACCAGAATGTTAAGTGAAAATTTACCTAAGCCCTGAAGCTTGAAATCTTGGGCCGACACCTGGACTACCAAATGCAGGACCACCTCTGGGGAAAAAAAAGCCTCCAACATTTATTTTGTGAATTTCATTCAAAATGTAACAAGAAATGTACAAGTAATCCAGAGTGAAAGATGATGACAGCTGAAAAACCTTGAGTCTCCTCCGGGCCTGGGCCTCTTAGGATCTGCAAACCGGACAGTTAATGGTTGCTCACAACCCTGAACAGTTCAGAAAATTGAAGTAAAAAGGTGACACTTAATATTATATTCAGTAAACCTAACATCATAAAAGCAGCAACCACTCCTTACTCTCATTGTATATATTCCGTTAAGACCATTAATAGCTGCCAATGCCATGTCTCTATGGGAGTATTTAACAAAACCACAACCTTCAGAATGATTCAACAGGAGAATCAGCAGTCGAAAGTTAGAAACATGATGGTATTAGCTTCACATAGTTAAGAACATAAAGAAAAGGAAGTGCCATGAAGAATGCACTGAGGAGAAGCATCAACCCTGCACGCTGTCACATAAAATGTTGGCCAATTGTTTACTGTGATATATACTGATAATACCATCCATCCCTTATTGTTATGTAGATAATTTAGAAAAAGAACAATAACAATCTAATTTGCTCCACAAATACCTAGAAAAAAATAAGCGGCATCTAAGTTGAAAAGAAAATGAATTCAAATACAGGAATATTATGTTTCTTAAATAAGAGTTAAGGGCACACCACGACTCTGCTTCATTTCATCACGCATAAGGTAAACATCTTCAACCCGACCATATGGTGTAAAAATCTGAACAAAGAAACACTTATTATTATACACATGCCTAGAAAGAAAAAAGTAAACTGAATAAACGATATTCATATATGCATCGAACTATGAGGGAATGGTATAGAAGGTATATCCACTCATCAGATAAACCAACAAAAAGTTAAATATTCACTAGAAGAGAATAAAGCATTCATTAAGAAGGAGAGAGGAAGGCAAGCTGTCAGAAGAATAACAAAACAATAAACAACCAAAAGACATGTGACATACTTCCTCAACTTCCTTTTCTGTAGCCTGTTTGTTCAGTGAACCAACAAACAACTTGTACTCAACTGCACCTACCATACAAAGGAAAAAATCAGCGAAGGAAATTAGAAATAAAAACATATTTGCATGTGTTCTGTCCTATTAAAAACAAGTTTTAACTGTTCAAGGAACACAGCACCTAAAAGAGCATTTGCAAATGGAAAATATTTGATCCAAGATAGTAATGAAGAACAAGAAATGTCCATTTTATAAAAGTTTTGAGAAGTTAGCAAACCTAAGAATGTTTCAGAGAGCAGATTCAACATGTAAGAAACAGATCAAACTTCAGAAACTTGGAAATCTCAGTTAAGTCATTGACAATTACCAAGGCGCTCTCGTTCTCCATCAGCATATCTAACTTGGATAGGACCCACACCCTGGAAAACAAATGTTTAACATGTGAAACTGCTATAATGGTCCACATGATTGGAAACCAAGCAAAGGAACATAACTAACCCCAGGCAGAGTTCGTTGATTGTGCAAAGCTCTGATGGCCCTATCAGCTTCTTCTGAGGTTGCATATTTTATAAAACAACAGCCTGCATGAGTGAAATGTTTTTAACCTGATTTTCATGGTTACTTACACCTTCAAACGGTGGTGTATATGTCATTAAATCAAAATGCAAAAAACACATGCCAGCACTCTTATGCATTAAACCACTGCATGTCAACATGCAGATTATTGTTAGGAAAAAAGAGTGCTCCGATACTCAACTAGAGCATTGCAGCTTTAGATCCATAAATATAATTAGCTGTTATTATTAGAAGTCATGAGCTCTTAGGACTAATTGAATGATTCTAATCTAAAGGGGTTTGAAAAAGCATGAAGAAACCTGAAGGCACACTTGGGTAAAAATCATAAAAAATGGGAAAGTGGATGTAACAGATGTTCTTCCCGCATTCTTTTGCAGCACTCATGGCATAAAGAATGTCAATCATGAAGTAGTCCACAATGTTCTCTCAAACAATATAATTTGCTTAAAGACTAACAACAAATAAACCAAACAGAGAGCATATGTGGGAAATCATCAGGTCTTAGGCCAAAGGTCTCACATGTAGCCATTTCATTGGTCAACATAATGCGACAAAAAAGTAGAGTACTGATAAAGGAGTTTAGAAATAACAACCATAATAGAAAACAGCAACATGGCAGTAATAGCATGACCAAAACCATATAAATCAACAACTTATGCACAAGCCAAATAGTGTTTGATGATCACTTAAAATCATGTTTGTCAACAAAAAAAAGGAACATAAGATCTCCCCTGCACTCCAGCATAAAAGGTCTGTGGCACTGGTAGTCAAACATGCACCAAGTAAAATGACATCCAAAGCGCGTTCTCCATTTTGGTCTCAAAATCTTACAACTCAGTGAGCCTCTGCATACATAGGGCCCCAATCTAGAACAGACAAATGTACCTCCTCCAAAATAAAGATGAAAAATGTACCATGGAATCAATAGTGTTCTTCATTTGGCTCTTTTTGTGCAAATAATAAGCTAGTGTAGAGCATAACCATGAGACTTCTAAACATACAGCACATCCAGACTCCTATCGCAGCCTGTCTGCTAAGAACTCAAATGTCACAGACATGCACATTCAAATTCCCTGCTGCAGTAAAATTAATAGATAACTTATAACAGATAAAACCTTTCTCGGCTTCATATTTTTTTTAATCAAACACAACCAGGTTCATCTAGAAAGAAGCCATCTGTCTTAGCTACATTATCAAGTCATCTTGGAGACAGGGTAAAATATGGATCGTCGCACATAACAGGGAGAATGGCACAACCAAAATGAAACAGAAACAGGAAAGGTAATATAGGATACACCAATATAAAAGAAAAGGATTGATGAGCTGTCGCCACTAGACAAGACAACCTTCAAAGTGTTCAGCCAAAACTCTTTGAAACATTCACAAAGTACAACACACAATACAGACTGAGAGCAAAAGGCCATTGTTTGATCACAAATGCTAGCAATGGCTGCTGCAAGAGGGTTCTTGCGTGATGTTTGAAACAATTCAAATGATAAAGCAATAAATTTTATACAAACTCTCTCACCATGCTGCAAGGTCAATTTTGCAAAATTTGAGGAGCAGTGCATCAATTAGGACTAAGACTCCTATGTGACCACCTTACAGGTGGCAGTAGTGGTGCACCACTTCAACCATAATGATCAACTAAGTTTGTAGCATCAACTTTCAAACAATTTTGATATATAAAAAAAAAAATGAAGTGAAATAGCACCGGAGAGATCGACACTAATATGCCTCACTGTAAATGGACCCTGATCTGTTATTTAAACTATCTACCTGATTCTATTTAGGAATATATAACCAGGAATTCATCATGAACCTCTCCTGCTTAGCCACTAGAGCACGATTAAAAAAAAAAAAAAACTAATACAAAACCCCTGACACAATAATATACAGCTAAGAAATTATTGCAGTCATGTGTCACCAAACTGCCATTTGATTGAGTTCTACAAACCTGGCACATACCTAGTAAAAAACAATTAAAAATGAACATTTAGTACCTAATAAGAAACACAACAACAAAAAATATTAAGAGCAGAATGCTATAGAGCACATCATCCACAATTGCCACACCATGACCATCACAATCTCATTCAAATGCAACTACGTAAATAATGAAATGATTTCTATTAACCAAATCAATGCAGGTCACCACATAATGAAATTGAATATGAAATTATAACTAATCACAAGCTGCTAGCAACCACCAAGCACAAACCTTAATAATTAAACAAAACCAAAGCACTGGAAGAAAAATCCTTACTTATCAATATTGCGCTCTACCTCACAAGCATGGTTAGAACAGCAAGACTAGGAAATGGTCCCCAAATTTAAACATTCAATTTTTTAGACCCTTGGTTACATGAAATCAAGGAATTGGCTTTTGATAAATAGACCATGGAAACAACAACATGCACACACTTCAAACCAAGCCATAAGCATACAAACCAAAGGGATAAACATCATACATGCCTGCCACAACATTAGTAAGACAAACCAAAGGGATACACAACATACACGCCTGCCACAACATTAGTAAGTGCGTTGTCTTGTTAAGTATAACTGTTAAGTTCTAATGGAACACAAATAGGCGCCAAACCATGAGTAACACGCGTCTTACTACCACAACCCAACTACAAAAATAAGCTCCATGTTATATTCAACCAACAATCAAACAAAAAGCTTCCCAAGATATGTCCACATAACGAAGCTTTAACATCCATCTCACAAGCAATAGGCTTATATTTCTTAAAAAACACATCACATGTTAATTTTCAAGATACTACTGCAACTGTTGGCACATCCATGTTCAAAAAAACAGAACTAAGCCAGAAACCTCGAAGTACAGCATAAGGCAACATTCACATTACATTCAGACAATATTCATCTTATATCCATCATCTCATATCATAGAGAGGGGAAATAATCAGACGATCACCATAGACAATATTCATCCCATAAGAAATGGCCTATCCCTCATATTTCCAGAGTAGCTTTGGAGTTTGGAGGGATGCATAACCGACAACCACAGCTCATTTAAGTAACCAACCACATCCAACTACCAATCCAACTGCTAACCATCTCATTTGACAGTGCAAAAAATGATATCAACAACATTCAAATTGGACAGCTCCCAGTTTGCCAAGAAAAAAACCATAAAAAATCCTTAAGATTATATCATGTTTAACACCATTAGGAGAGTAACAATTAAATATTTTCTGGTGTCACTGTGAACAAAAGATGTCCTTATAAACATCCTGACATAAAAATGCTACAGTATGGTAATAGACATCCACATTACAGAACACTCATTGGGTAATACTCTCACTGCAGCAGCCACTATGACGAGAGGAGGATCTAATCATCTTCAAGTTCCAAACTGCTATAGAAAACTGTTTTTTAGTGGGTTTGCATGTGCTGTCTTCATGTTTTGACAGGACGAAGACAAAAAAGGGGACCAAAACCAACAAGCCCGAAACTTGTTGCAAAAATAAACTGAGATGAAAGATGAGAATACTTTGCTCCCATCAGCCTCTTAGAGACCTGAAACAAGATACATAGGAATCACAATTACTTCATTTAAAAATAGCAGTTTACATACCTTGTTGCTGTCCTGTTCTCTTGTCTTTGATCAATGCAACTTCTATCACGTTTCCATGTTCTTCAAACAAGGGGCGAATCTGGCATCGAATCAGTAAAACTACATTAAGATGGCACAAACATGATACTATAAAGTAAAAATTTCTTGCCTGATAAAGTTGAAGATAACCAACCGTGAAAAGACACAAATCAGCATCGTTTACGGTAAGACACTAGCCACAACAAAAAAGTGGAGAGTACTTGTGCACAGATACATGTATAAGAGGTATCAAGTGCTTTCTTCAGGGTTCAGTGTAAGTCTAATTATAATATTTCATGCATCAACTAAATGACTTACATCCATTTCAGTTGCTGTCCTTGGAACAGAACCCACAAAGAGCTTTGCAAAAGCAAAACCACTACGACCACCACCACCATCAAACCTATCTGCAAAATACAAATTCATTAACATCTGAACAAGAAAAGACAAAAAAACACATAATTTAACTTTAATGGCATGATTAGCACAAAATAAGAGCAATCAGATTAATTTAAATTGCCATTCAATTCCACCAAAACTACACGAATAAACACCCAATTCCCAAATTAAGAAAAACAATAATTAAATTACCATTCAATTCCCACTAAAACTAGACATCTAAAACCCAATCCCCAAATTAAACAACGAAATTGAGTTAAATTCCTTTTCAACTTCATAATGAAACCACGCAAACAAAACACAGATCTCCGAATTAAACACATATCAATTACCAAAACAGAAATTAAGAGAAAAATGTTTCAATTTTAAACTAAACAAAACTTTACCAGGCGAGCTTCCGTGAAACCCTCGTTTGCGCCCGGAAATATTCTGAGGTGGCAGGGACATCGGAGGCGGCAATTGATAATTAGGCACAAACCCCCCACCTGCACCCCCCATCGGCCTAAACCCCCCATCACCACCACCACCCATGGGCCGGAATCCACCATCTCCACCTACACCACCACCCGGAGGACTATCAAACGAGCGCCTTCCCCCTCCACCGCCTTGGTAATTATTAGGGCTACGGCGATTGTAATTGCTGTAATTGTTGCTGTTGTCGTTATCAGAATAGCGGTTTATAGGATTGTCGGAGAAGCGGGAAGGGGCGTCGGAGAAGCGGGAGGGACGGCGGTTAGGGTAAGAGGAATCTTGGTTGTCGATGGTGTTGTTATAGCTGCTGGTGTTGTAGCTGTAGTTGTCGTTGTCGTTGTCGCTGTCGCTGTAGCGTTCTCCTCCCCTGTGTCTGTTCATTGATAATTTAGAGGGAAAAAACCCTAATTTTGACAAACCCTAATTCAGTGACTTGTGATTTTGTTGAAAGACGGGGGGAAAGATTTAGGGAGGGAAAGGGAAATATGAGAGTGACAAAACTGGACTGAAGAATTTTTCTTTTAGGGGTGGAGAAATTTCGTTTTGGTTTATAAGACAACCATGACTTATGGTAAACAATCATTATGGTCCCTCGAGTATCGGTATGCAGTCTGGTCAGCCCTTTTTTATGTAAAACAAATGCCGATGAGTCACAAGCTCTGAGAAAGTTAATGCAATTGGCCGCCACGAAAAAAAATGGTATTTAGAAAATAAATAATTATTAATAGCACTAAATGTCCTTATTCATTGCAGAGACTTGAAAAATAAAATAAAGATAACTCTTTGGTTGTAGGAAAATTGTTTGGTATTTCATTTGTCATTTAATTTAAATGACAAATTATTTATTGTCTATCTTTACGTTTACATTTATACAGTAGAAAGAAAACAAAAGAGATAAAGTGTGTATTTAGTATTGTAATGGAGTGTAATTTTTAAAAGTTTTTTTAAATTGAAACAAATAAAAATAATATTTTTTTATTTTTTACATTAATACATCAAAATTATTTTAAAATAAATAAAAATTATGCATCAAACACATATTTATTTTATATTAAAACATTCTATTTTCACAAACTTACTAATGTTCTTGCAGTGATAATGAAAATATATTTTTTTGAACATATCCTAGTTTAAAACCCTAGTTTCGAGTTTTAACTGAGTTACCGAATCATCTAGATTAATTTTTAAAAAATCAAAACAATATTATTTTAATAAAAAATAAAAAATTAATGAGTTGTAACTGGGTTTTGATTAAACCATCCTAGGTTTTTTTTCTATTTTTTTTAAAATTCGATCTCGGATCAATCTACTTGTCAGGTTAGATTTCAAAACTATAAATGAGAGTGTAAGGTTATCAATTAATTTCCTTTATAATAATAATTGAAAAAAAAGCCAGCAATATTGCTAGAAAATGTATTTTATTTTTCTCTTTAAAATGATATCAATAACTATATATTAAAAACTATTGCTTATATTCACCATGAATAATAAATGATGAAATTTGAAATTATAATTTTATATAATTCATGTAAAGAGTTAAATGCTAAAATTTTTAATTTCAATGTTTAAGCTTATTGTCCGGTCTAAAGAATTTTAAACTATCTGGAAGTTTGACAATTATTGATTTTAAAATATTTTTTATTTTAAAAATTATTTTTGATATTAATATATTAAAACAATATAAAATATAAAATATAAAATAATAAAAATTAAAAATTAAAAATTAAAAATAATTTTTTAAAACATAAATCAATCATATCACGCCAACAATCAAAAGGCATGAGTTAGATGAAGGACTTATTCATCGTAAATGAGAAGTAGAAAGTTCGAGATCCAGGGGTTATTTTGACCCATCGTTAAGACTCGAGAAAGCTACAAATGATTTTCTGATCCAATGATTACAAACGGCTCTGCATGTCTTTGGGCTGAGCTTTGTTCGAGAGCCTGGGTTCGAAATGGATATTTTTGTGGGTTCACTTACTTTAACTTGGATCATGGTGCGGTTTCATGTTACAATGGGCTTTAGGGTTGCGTTTCTAGTCCAGGAAAGATCGAAGTAGAGACAGAAACTTCGCCTATATTATTTTTTTTCCAGCTCCTGCGTGTGCGTGTTTCTTTATCAAATTTCCAGTCTAGACAGAAACTTTCTTCCAAGAGCAGAAGAAATTTAAAGATTTTCTTTTCCAACTGAATTCTTTCTAGTTGCTGCGTGATTGAACATTTCTGGTTTAACGAAACGAATTCATGCCACTATAGCAAGTCTCCACAAATCAAAGGGACTTGAAGCTCGGGGGAGTGCAGATATGACCTTCCCTTCAAACTTTCTTTCATCTTCACTGTTTTCAAAGTGTTGCCAAGGCCACTTCTGAAGCTGCATATCATAAACCACATTCCCTCTCTTCTTTCAGATTCTCTATCTGGGAACTAGAGATTCTCAAAATCTTTAGCAAGCTGGCCTCTTGAAAAATGGAAGTGATCATGTGATCTGCTCTTAGGGATATCGGATTGCATGAAATGAGGTTTACAATTCTAATTCCAGGTCAGGTTTGCTAAAAGAGTGATTTGGAACGTTCTCGTTGCACGCAATTCAGAAACTCTAAAACCTGACAACCATCCACGCAACTCTTCGAGACCTTCCATTTTCACTACAAAAGCCAAACCACAGTACTCGAGGAAAAGCTCGGCTAACCAAGACTGCTCAGCCTAAGCTAGCACATAGATCGAAAAAGACCCAGCAAGCACCATTCACATAGTGAAACGGCTTCCCAGTTAACAACCAGACCAGAGTTGCTCCACAAATTAAATGGATCGTAAGCAGATGACAATCCAAGCAGAGCAGATCCCAACACACGTTTCTTTCCAAGCACCAAACACACAACGTAAATGGGTTCCATTTCTCGGCATACCTATCAATTTAAGTCCCAAAGAGGCCACGCCACGAGCTATAACCATCCTCCTGCAGTGTCCTAACAAAAAGAAGCCTTGAATTACATTCAAACGACAAGCTGATTCAAAAGTTTCAGTAGATACAATACATAAGCACATACCAAGGATCTGCTTCACCATCAAGCAATATGGTCACTGTTTCTTGAAAGTGTACGGTATAAAACAATTCTAAGATTTACTTGCTCATTCCACATCCATGTTAAACAAAAATAAGTGAAGCTATAAACTCGATAATACAAGTATCCTGAGAGCACTAGCTTATGCACCAAAAAGAATACAAGCTTCACCGCTTCACATTTGAACGAACTAGACCAACTAAGCACAAGAAAAGGAAAGGAAAATAACCAGGCAATCAATTCTGTGTAGATGGCCTGCGATTCATATTCCCATAATAGCTTTTGATAGAATACACTAGAAACAATCATAACCCTTTTTTTATTCAGTAACAACAACCAAGCTTAGCTCACTAGTTTCCTACACAGCCATATGGAAATGATTCTCCAAAGGAAACGAAATAAACATATGTGACTATCAAAATCAGAAATAAACATATGTGACTATCAAAATCAGTTCTAATAGTTCCAAGGGGAAGTGGTTTTTTTAATCCACCGCTACTTATAACGGAATAGCTCTTAACTTTAAGCAGAAAACGAGAAACCAATAACTGCTTTGAGAGCTTTCTATCTTCATTCGTAAATTGTAGCCCAGCACTTAAAGCATGCACAGGCAATATAGCATTGTTGTCAATCAAATTCAGGCAATAGCCCAGCACTTAAAGCATACACAGGCAATATAGCATTGTTGTCAATCAAATTCAGAAATGAGAAAATACTTTCTAAACTCTCAAGCCTAGAAGTTTACAACAAAACTGAATCTATTGCATGTTCACAGACGGACAGAGATTACTTGCATTTCTAAGACCGCAACAGGGGGGGGAATCATCTCGCTGCAATGACAGAGCTTCAAAGTGTAAGCATAAAGGAAGCTCAAATGGATAACTTAGCTGTGCCAATTCAGCAATCGAAAGTATTGCTTGCCAAAGAGGCTAAGCAAAGAGTAACAGACACTCCTTTTACAAATAAAGGAACAAAAACCTGTCAGTTGGCTGGAATAATAAATGAAAAAAAAAAAACAATGCAGCTGGAAATTTTTGTTGCCAGATTAATGAATCTTAGGTTCGAGGGGCTACAAGCATGCACAATACAGTTATCTCATGCATACTCAACCTTGCTATACTATCTCCCTTTAGTTATAGATGAGACATGTTCAACGTCTTTCAAACTTTCTAATGTTCCCATTTTCCACATGCATTTTTGGTTTAAAGAAACCAACCTGAGTTGAACATTAAACATTCTTCCTGTAAACAACCTGAATTGAGAAATGACAGGAAACATGAAACGAAATTGAAGGGAAAAAAAAGAAGAAGGAAAAATTGACAGCATATAAGAGATTCTCTCGGAAGGTGAAGTGATGGTTCATACATGCGCGCGCGCGCGCTTGGTTTTTCATAGAAAGTTTAAATAGTTACATTTTTTTTACTGAAATGGGAAACTGAAATGGAGGTGAAGGCAGTCAAGGGACCAGGAAGAGTATCGATCATTGTATATAACTGGTGGATCCCTCGAGGGTGGAGGTTACTGTTTACAGCTGCTCGTTATGTTTAAACTTGACGAGGGATTATTAAGTAACTGCAACAAACATTACTGGAGGGGAAGCCAACTTGCCGATATTATATGGGCCGGTCCAAGTCTAGTTTTCTTCGTTTCTCTGACCCAGATAATATTCTGGGGCTCAAATCAGCCTAATGGCTTGACAAAAAGCCCCAATGTCAATTCCTTATCGTTACAGATAAAAACAAAAACTGAAAATAGTGGTTGTTGATTTTGTTTTTGTTCTCAAAAAAAGTTTACTGTTTTTCTTCTTATTATAGTTTTCAAACCCAGCTGATTTAAAATTTAAATTCTAAATTTTAACCGAGTTACTAAATTTTAACTAAATTATTAGATCTTGAGAATTAATTTTTTAAAATTAAAATTATATAGTTTAATAAAAAAAATTAACAAATTGTAATTAGATTTTTTATTAGATTATAGGATCAACATACCAGGTCAATTGAGGTATATCAATTTTTTTTTTTTATTTAACTTGATTTTAATTTTAAATTAACTAAATTCTAAATAAATTTATCATACCGAACCAGATTTTAAAACCATGGTTATTACTCGTCAAAACAGCTTGAAGTCCAATCTTAATCACTATTACATACAGCAACGGGGTTGATTGATTGTAATAGATATTTTAATTGATTGAAGTGCATGTAATGTTTAAAATTATAGTAGTGATTATTTTTTAATTAAAAATATATTAAAATAAATATTTTTTATTTTTTAAATTTATTTTTAAAAGCAGTACATTAAAAAATAAAAAATATTAAAAGTTGAATTTGAATAAAAAAGAAATAAAAATTATTCCAAAACATTTTTTTTACTGCAAAAATAAATATACACAATCATCCTCTCTTACGTGTAAAGTCGTGACGCCCTAATAAAAGATAATAACGTTGTTGGCCAACCCTTGTAATTAAGGTCCGTAGTTTTAGTTCGTTCAATGAATCATTTCAATAATGATTGTTTTTTTAAATATATTTTTTAAAAAATATATTAAAATATCTTTTTAATTTTAAAAATTAATTTTAATATCAATATATTAAAAATAATTAACAAAAAAACTCCAATTACAAACCGATATCAAACACCCCTTGGTAGCTTAGAGGCCTGCTCGAATGCTTGTTAGGAGACAGTAATATTGTTTGATTGAAAAAAACACAGCGAAGACCACTGTATCCTAATACCGCTATATAAATTAATTAGTAATTAATCTACCTACTGTATTAATTAATTAAGATTAAAATTAAGGAAAAAAATACTAATTGGCCCAGGAAATTCAATGTAGATCCCCTGACGGGGCATTGTTCAACGAAACAATTTCCTTTCTTCTTCTTTTTTTCCCTTTTAGTGTTTTTTTTTTAATTTCAATTCTCATTTTTCCCTTTTTATTGTCTGCAAGAAATAAAAAATAAGATGACTAAAATTGAAAGTTAGGCAAAATTAAAGGCTTTCGATCCTTTTGTTTTACTATTTGTTTCGCGCCATATTTAGGAAAATTACCTTTAGATTGTTTTTATTTATTTTTTGATCTTTTTACTTGAAATTTACATATTCTAGTCTAAAATTTTATTTATTTTACAGTTTAAGAAACGAGAGAGAGTTATAAAAAAACAATAAATAAATAAAAATTATTAATTGATCATAATTAAAAAATCACAAAATTAATTTTCATGTTAACAAATTTTATTTGATAAAAAAATTTCATTAAGAATTTTTACCCTTTGACTTACTGGAAAAAAAAAAGATTGAGATTAAAAAAATTATGATCTTCATGGCAAAGCTTGTGTTCTTAGAACAATTTATAAGCATCTTGAATTGACTAATTGAGATTATAAAAATATTTATTGAGTATTTTCAAATGAAATAAGTTTAAAATAGGTTTTTAAGTTCAGGAAACCTTAACTTGCAATTTAGACCACCTCTCCATGGTATGAAAACGGGACAACTAAATTACACATCGTCTGCCCTTTGGGTGAAGAAAAAAAAAAAAAAGATCAGGCGCCCGGGGCTGCCTTTGCAGTCCGGGAATTGTGTTGCATAAATATTACATTTTTCCAACAAAAAGCTTTAACGCGGGTTCTGACTGGGAAATAATGGAAAAACTCCTAAAGAACTCTTATGATGCAGTATTGTTTGAATAGCGTGTTTAGAAACACAGTTAAAATTAAATTTTTTTATTAAAAATTCTTATATATATATATATTTAGATTATTTTAATATGCTAAATTTAAAAAGTATTTTTTAAAAAAATAAAAAAATTATTTTAATTTTTTTAAGTAAAATATACTTTAAATACCACAATTTAAAGTATTTTTAAGTAATATATTTTTAACATGCCAGTAATAGGCCCCGAAGGCTAGATCTCCCGGGGAAATGACACTCACAATGGCACTCTAGGGAGGACGACAATCGAGTGCGGAGGCTCAAACCACGTAAGAGGCTCAAACCACGTAAGGGGTTCATTGACCGGCTTTGGTAATTATCACAAGCTCGTTTAAAACCTAGTTAGTTAAGTTGATTTTTTTAGGTATCAATTATATCATTACTATTTTTTCGAAGGATTCGAAAACGATGATGATTAGCATATAATTAGTGTCTCGTATATATGATGCATGTTATTTTTTAAGATATTTTTAATTTAAAAATATATTAAAATATTTTTTTTAATTTTTTTAATTTTTGATATAAATATATCAAAATAATATGAAATGTTGTTTTTAAAAATGTTTTTTATTTCAAAATATATTAAAATAATATTTTTATCCTTTAATTTTTTTATTTGAAGACATTAAAGTAATATGAAAAAAATTAAAATTAAAATTAAAATAATCTTTTACCGCAAAAATAAATATTATCTTCATCAAATTGATCAAATTGTATTACAAATCAACGGTCAATAAAAAGCATTCCAACAAAATGGCGGTGCTGCTCGTGATACAGTTATAAGCTAGAGAACCCTTATTTTTTTCCCTCTAGGCTTTCTGTCCACTTCGCTTTCTCTGTTCCCCCCTCTCTCTCGTCCCTGACATTCACTCTCCTCTCACAACTCCGAGCTCCCGCGCATTTCCCATAAAAATCAAACCGACTCTACTCTACTCTATCTCATCAATCAACTCAGGTATACTTTATTCATCACCAACCCTTTTTTATTTTTCTCGAAACCCTTTATTTCAGTGGAGAACATATTATTAAGGTCTAGTTATGCTCAAATTTCGTTCGGCTTTGATTTATCTAACTTGTTTTTGTTTTTCTTTTCCGGACGATTTTATGGTTTCTAGGAGAGTCAATGATTGTGACCGAGGAAATTGTTTTTAGAGTTTATAGGTCCCTCTGTATATTATCAGTCGGTTTGACTTTTTTTTTTTTTAATATAGTGAAAATGGATATTGACTCTAAGCTCGATAAATTTGATGTCAACTGTCAAGTCTGGGGATGAGGGCTCATCATCAATGCAAGTGGATTCCAAGGTATATGATTTTGGCTACAAAATTCTTATATATATTTAAGATAATAATACAAACCGAGTCATCGTACATATTTAAGAACATAGTTGTGATTTTTCTGTTTGGTAATGGTGCTGCAGAACCTGGATATCTTCATCCAATTACCAAACTGTGCACAACCTGTATTTGTTAGTTGAAGCTTACTTGGATTGTTTTGGCTGTGAAGTGAGAAAATAAGCTCATTTTTTGTTTCTTGAAAAATTGTTTGTGTCATTGGTTTCTCATTGTTTGATTTTTTGATGTGAAGGGAACTGCTGAAGAAAAGGATGAATTAACTGACTCAATGAATAAATTGAATGCGGGAGCATCGTCATATGGGCAGGCCCATTCATTCAGAAGAAAACCGGTTATCATCATCGCTGTTGGAATGGCAGGTAATCTAGCAAGTTTGTTGAACAAGTATTATTCTGTGTACAAAATAAATGCAAGTGTCCTTTAATTTTACCATGCATAACATCTGATCATATGTGCATTGCAGTTTTGTATTACAATAAATAATACAGGAGAGCTTTACATGCGAGATCTAAAAGCATATCTATCCGTAGCATATGTAATAAGTACTCTATGGTTTGGTTCTTTATTAATGTTATCGCGTTTCAATAATCCCTGCTGCCTGCGCTTTTGTCAACTCATATTCATAACATTGTTACTGTTTTTGGACAGGGAGTGGAAAAACAACTTTTCTTCACAGGTTGGTTTGCCACACACAAGCTTCAAGGATTCGTGGTTATGTGCTCAACCTTGATCCTGCTGTGATGACTCTCCCCTATGGTGCAAATATTGATATAAGGGACACCGTTAAGTACAAGGAAGTGATGAAGCAGTTTAATCTTGGACCAAATGGCGGAATCCTGACATCTCTTAACTTGTTTGCCACGAAATTTGACGAGGTAAAATTTACCTGCAGCTTTTCTTCCTTGGAAGGGCTCATTCTTATCCTCCATTACATATTGTCTGTGATTTATTCTTACCATCGTTACTGAAAACTTACCACTATTAACTCTAATGAAAATTTCAGTTGGCAATTGAGTAGTCAGTTGCACAGCTATTTTCATCCTGATAGACAGCAGTCTAAGTGTTAACTAGTGGGTAGCAATTTTGGGCAAGGGTATTGGACGGTGGAAACCTGTCTTGCAATTCTATTTTTCTGCATGCAGAGCTTTTCACTGCGAGTTTCAGGCCATTCTCGTAATTCCAATACTTCCTCGCTTCTGTATTCACATTTTCAGGTCATTCAAGTCATTGAGAACCGAGCAGATCAGCTTGATTATGTTCTTGTGGATACGCCTGGTCAAATTAAAATATTCACCTGGTCTGCTTCTGGAGCTATCATCACAGAAGCTTTTGCTTCAACCTTTCCAACTGTAGTTGCTTATGTAGTTGACACACCTCGTTCCTCAAGCCCAGGAACTTTCATGAGCAATATGCTTTATGCTTGCAGCATACTCTACAAGACACGGTTGCCTCTTGTGTTGGCATTCAACAAAACTGATGTGGCTCAACACCAATTTGCGTTAGAGGTATAACTTTTTTCCTTTTCTCTTGATGCATCATTACTGGCCTTTTTCTTATTTGGAAAAGAAGTACTTAAAAACTGTTAGAGGGAGTTGGAGGCCTAGCTAGGATGCAATAATGCTCAAGTGATTCTGGGCTTAAGCCCGTGGGATGCATAACATGTTCAACAATTTTATCAATTAAATAGCTAAAATAATATTTGTAGGGAGATTTTCATCATGCCAGACTCTCCCAATATTTTCCAGTCCAATTATGATTGAAGTTTGATAAGCATGTAGGATTGGTTTCAGAATTAAGGATCAATGAAAACAGTGTTGTCAAGGGATCAGAAACATGACTAAACAAGAAGTGTACTGAAAATTTCAAGGTTTTCAATCAGATCCCTAGCTTTTAAGGGACTGTTTTTTGACATTAGAATGCTGTATTTGCAATTTTTTGTAGCATTGCTTTCAGAAGTCAATTTCTCTAGATGTTTCATTTTTCTTCAGTGTTCTCTATTTAGGAGTGTTGCTCTTGAGTTTTCATATGTAATGTTAGGTTATGATCTTTGCCACTTATTTTCACAAGATTCTTGTTCTGAGTGTTATGACTTGTGCAGTGGATGGAAGATTTTGAAGCCTTTCAAGCAGCAATGAGGTCAGATGATTCATACATGTCTACTTTTGCTCAAAGCCTTTCCCTTGTGCTCGATGAATTCTATAAAAATTTGAGGTCAGTTGGGGTCTCTGCTGTTTCTGGAGCTGGAATGGATGCCTTCTTCAAGGCTATCGAAGCCAGTGCTGAGGAGTATATGGAAACCTACAAGTATTTCCTTAAGCCCTCAACTCGATAAATATTGTCGTTTTGATCAATTCTTTACTCTCAACTACCATTGTTTTGCTTTTGCTTGTCTAACCCATGGATCTTGATGGTTTTAGGTCTGATCTTGATAAGAGACGGGCAGAGAAGCAACAAATGGAGGAAGGGCAGCGAAAACACAACATGGAAAAGCTGAGGAGGGACATGGAACAATCAGGGGGACAGTCTGTTGTTTTGAGCACTGGTTTGAAGGATAAAGCTCAGAATGATAACATGGTTGAGGAGGATGAGGACATTGAAGATGATGATTTTGAGACGTTTACTGACAAGGAAGATGTTATAGACGAGGATGAAGATGAAGAGGTGGGCAGTTTCTCCTTCTAGTGCTAAGGTTTTGCTAGCACAAGTTGGTTTATGGGTAGGACTTTTTACAGGACTTCCAGGAATTGGATGCTAAGTACTCGTTTGAGAATCACCAATTTGGTTGTGGCTGTGGCTTACAAGTGTTTGGTAATGGTTTAAAAGCTAATATCACAACCCCTTTCATGTGTTATTTTCAGAAGCTACAATTTGTAGCTTTTCAAAAGCCACATCCACTGCCCCGGCTCTCCCAAATGGACTTATGTTAGATGACATCTCTTGTGTTTTCCACGGGTATTCTTCCCTGAAGTTGACTTCACGTATGCGCATGTGTTTCGAATCAGCCATCCGCATCGTTGACTGCAAACTTGTTTTGACAGGTTTAAGAAATGGTGAACGGTTTTGTCCAACCCCGCCACCATCGTTTTTCTCAGTCCTGTGCTCTCATTGATCCTTGCACGCAGGAGATGGGCTGTTGCCATACGGCCGATTTTGTAATTCTGTAGCATTTGAACTCGTTATGCCTTCCATATAATGTCAAATGCATGGATGGTTAACATGTACAGATCTCTTCCTTGGATTTATAGGAACCTACATCGACTGCCCACCAAGTTATTTGTTTGATATCCTAGCTGGCTAAAGTTGTGTACTCAGGAATCAGGATGCTTCTTGTCCTAAGCGCCAGGCATCTGGTTACCTATGCGGATCTCCTGTGCTCCTGTGCATGTTTTTGCGCTATTGTTATTCTGCTCGCTTGTTTGATTGTGTACACCTTTATGAATCATAGGGCCTAGTAATCTGACCAAAAAAGAAATTCATAAACTCCTTTTTCCTTGCCTGATTGTTCACGGGAAGAATTTGCACCGGATCCTTCGTTATAATAAACCTATATATAAACTACCAACATTAGTAAACTACCCCCATGGTTTTCCCCCACAGTAGAGCAGTTCTAGTATTATAGACTAGAACTTATTTGCACATGTCAGCATATTATGTACTATTTAGTCAAGAAATGCATGTGTATCTTATGCAGTAATGTTATACAAATATATTTCATTCATAAGATCCATATTTTATGAAGTTGACACATCAATTTATATAGAGATTTCATAGAAAAAATCGTTTCCTTTTCTCATCGCTCTCATTCTTTTCTTATTTGCAAAATCCCAAGTCTTCTCTAATTTGCACTCTTTTTTTAAAAAAAAAAATTGATTTGAAAAAAAATGTACTTGAATTTTGAAGGATATCATGACATTAAAAATATGTGCCAGGATAAAAGCTCTAAAAAGAAAGTTGCTTATAACAAAGAGTAACCGCTTAAACAATCAACAACAAAATTACAAAGTTAAGAATTTGTTAACATTAGAGCTTGAAGAGAAGAAGGGGAACTTATTGAAAGGAGGGATGAACTGCAACCATGCCTTGTAATTTCACTACTGCCATTCCGGCAAATTCTTTGAAGCTACTGCGGTTGATTTTTGTTTTTTTTTAAGACAGACCCTGAGGATAGAGGTTGGCCAATCTGATCGGTACCTTTATGGTTTTATATAATTTGGCGACCCATCCAACAGCTAGATCAAAGAACATGTACTGATTATAGCTACATGGGCATTAGCTGAATTGTGTTCTCGCTGTTTTCGATTTGTGTGCAACAGCAAAGTGCAAACTAGACGTAGAAGAATTTATTTTGTAGTGTGTGTGTGTATTTCTTTACTCGTCGTCTTAACATCAGCTTATTTGACATTAACTATTTTGTTTAGGAATTTAAGATTAAAAATGCCTTCGTTTAAGAAATAAAGATGTTCTTGATTCGGGTAATGGATGGCAAGAAACAAAAAACATGGATAATTAGCGTTGGGGTTTTTTCCCATTGTGGTGAGTTGGCAGCATAGAATTGATGGCCATGATGTGAGATGTATCCTTCAAGAGTTAATTCCACCGACTTCCGGAACTCGGGTCAACGCCCTTAATCTGTAGGGCTTACACCTCATCCTGCTGA